AGAGTCTTCTACAACACCACAGTTCAAAGCATCAATTCTTCGGCAGTCAACTTTCTTTATAGTCCAACTCTCACATCCATACATGACTACTGCAAAAACCATAGCCTTGACTAGACAGACCTTTTTAACAGAATACATCATGAGAAATGCTGGACAGGATGAAACACAAGCTGGAATCAAGACTGCTGGGAGAAATACCAATAACCTCAGATATGCAGATGACACCACCCTTACGGCAGAAAGCAAAGAAAACCTAATGAGCCTCTTGATGAAAGTGAAAGAGGAGAGTGAAAAAGTGGGCTTAAAGTTCTCAACATTCAGAAAACTTAGATCATGGCATCTGGTCCCATCACTTCATGGCAAATAGATGGGGAAACAGTGGAAACAGTGGCTGACTTTATTTTTCTGGGCTCCAAAATCACTGCAGATGATGATTGCAGCCATGAAATTAAAAGACGCTTGCTCCTTGAAAGGAAAGTCATAACCAACCTAGACAGCATATTAAAAAGCAGAGACATTTCTTTGCCAACAAAGGTCTGTCTAGTCAAAGCTTTGGTTTTTCCAGCGGTCATGTATGGATGTGAGAGTTGGACTTTAAAGAAAGCTGAGCACCGAAGAATTGATGCTTTTGAACTGTGGTGTTGGAGAAGATTCTGGAGAGTCCCTTGGATTGCAAGGAGATCCAACCAGTCCATCCTAAAGGAGATCAATCCTGGGTGTTCACTGGAAAGACTGACGCTGAAGCTGAAACTCCAATATTTTGGCCACCTCATGCGAAGAGTTGAGTCATTGGAAAAGACCCTGATGCTGAGAGGGATTGGGGGCAGGAGGAGAAGGGGACGACAGAAGATGAGATGGCTGGATGGCATCACCGACTCAATGGACATGAGTTTTAGTAAACTCCGGGAGTTTGTGATGGACAGGGAGGCCTGGCGTGCTGTAGTCCATGAGGTCACAAAGGGTTGGACATGACTGAGCGACTGAACTGAACTGAACTGGAACTGCATGGCACCCCTTGGTGTGTTATTTAGCTGGCTGATTGAGGATCAAGGTCTAGTCGAAGTTGACTTGTCTGCTATCTTGGACCCATTTGATTCTAAACAGTTTATGCTGTGTCCTCAGGCTATGTCATTCTTTCAAAAGTTGTGCCCTGCCCCCTTCCCTTCTGTTTCATACCCATTAGATGCCAATGGCTTCCCACCCCTGCCCCTTGATGTGACATCTAAAAATGTCTTTCAGTGTTGCCATGTGTCCCCTAAGAGGCAAAAATCGCAGCTAGTTTAGGACCACTTCTCTAAACGTTCAAAAATCAAAGAGCTCATCAAGCATCCACTGTATTATTAGGACATGTTGTTGTTTAGTCGTGTGTCTGACTCTCTGCGACCCCATGGACTGTAGCCCTCCAGGCTCCTCTGTCCACGGGATTTCCCAGGCAAGATGATTGGAGTGGGTTGCCATTTCCTTTTCTAGGCAATCTTCCTGACCCAGGGATCAAACCCTCATTCCCTACACTGGCAAGCAAATTCTTTACCACTGAGCCACCAGGGAAGCCCCTTGTTAAGACATCAATTTTGCCTACTTTAGATAAATTATCACAAAGGGTATGATATGATTTCAGCTATAGATACAAGCGTCTGAGGGTCCTCTACCCCTGTGGACCTCACAAGGTCCTCCCTGCCTCAAGGACGCCAGCTCAGGCCTTTCCCTTGTGGCTGCACATCAGCTCTCTGCCGGCACCTCCTCTACATCTTAAACAAGGGGTTAGCAGGCCCTGTTAACGAAAACATAATATTTCAAAGATTAAATTGTGAGAGCGACTTTAAAACAGTCCTTAAGAGTTTAACACAATTTTTAAAAACTGGATTTAACTACAAGGTGGGGTAGTTAAAAAAAAAAAATAGTTGATAAAGGTTCTTCTCTCTGTGGCGCCAGTGGTAATGAACCCTCCTGCCAATACAGAAGATGTAAGAAACACAGGTTCAAACCCTGGGCTGGGAAGATCCCCTGGAGAAGGGCATGGCAACTCACTCCAGTATTCTTGCCTGGAGAATCCCACGGAGAGAGGAGCCTGGCTGGCTGCAGTCCATGGTGTCACATAGAGTGGGACACGGCTGAAGTGACCTAGCATGCAACACATGGGTACTGTGTGGGCTTGATAGCTTTTTTCAGGACTATCTGCTGCCACCTGGTGACAGAAAGCCATCAAGGACCCAGAACTCTTCAATTCTGTTACTACATTACAAACTTGGAGTTCTACTCGCCAGAGGGAGGGGTTTTTTTTTTTTGCTGACAGGGAGCCGTTTTTCTGCTGAGAAACTTGGACCCATAGGAAAAAAAAAATTTAAGAACTTCACATGTGAGAAATATTTGCAGTTGAAAGTGAAGGTGGTGAAGGTCTTAGTTGCTCAGTTGTGTCTGCTCTTTGCGACCCCATCAACTGTAGCACACCAGGGTCCTCCATTCATGGTATTTTCCATGGATGAAGAATACTGGAGTGATTTGCAGTTAGCTTCAGATAAATGCGTAGCGATTCTATGCATTTTCAAACTGAAGGAAAAGGAGCATAAGCCTTCCTTTAACAAATAAAGCAAGCAATACAAATATTCTTCAGTTCCATTCGGCAGAAAAAGAGGGAAAAGGGAAAAGGAGGTAAAGAGAGTGGAACATTGGACAGAAAGAGGGAAAAGACAGACAGGTAACTGGAGAATGTCAGAATCTCTTCTTTCCTCCTCTCTTCATGAAGCCACCCCCCAGTGTCTGGGCACCCGTCACTCCTCTGCATTCAAACTTGCATCCAAAACTCAAAGCAAGCTCTTCAGAGACCAACAGACTGGTGTCCAGTCCCAACACTGTTACTCCCTAGCTGAGTAGTACAAAGAAGGTATCAGTCTTTGAAGGGAAAAAAAGAAAAAGAGCATATGATTGACTCTAGGTTTAGGACTTCAACGTCATCCTCCTTGTAAAATAATTTTTCTTATAAACCACAGAGGGAGCTACATTAACTGCTTGCATGAGTCATCAATTATCAGGAGTCATAGAATATGTGAACTGGATATGACCTTTAAAATACTCGGTTTCTCTCTTCCCCAGTAGACAGGGAAACTAAAGCATGAAAGGCCTGTCTTTTCATTTTTTGGCTGCATCACTGTGCTTGTGGGATCTTAGTTCTCTGGAATGTAGGCCACAGCATGAAAGTGCCAAGTTCTGACCACTGGACAACAAATAATTCCCTGGAATAATCTGTCTTGACTTTTCTTTGTGCAGAAATTCATCAAGAGGCTGTGCAAGCCAGTTTTCTTTCTTACACAAGGCATGTATCATCCTGCAGGGCTGTTATCACACCTACTCTTGCTCCACACAGATACAAAGCCTCCTTTTAATTACTTTCTTTGTTCTCGGTCATCTTTCGGAACAGATTACGTGCTTCTTGAGGTTTTGTGTGTGTCGTGCATGGTTTGGTTGATCAGTCATGTCTGACTCTTCATGACCCCATGGACTGCGGTCTGCCAGACTCCTCTGTCCATGGGATTATCCAGGCAAGAAGACTAGAGTGGGTTGCTTTTTCCTTCTCCAGGGGATCTTCTTGAACCAGGGATAGAACCCAGGTTTGCCACATTGCAGGCAACTTGTTTACCGTCTGAGCCAACTCAGCTGGTAAAGAATCTGTCTGTAATACAGGAGACCCCGGTTTGATTTAATCTTCCTCAGTGGGGAAGATCCCCTGGAGAAGGGATAGGCTACCTACTCCCGTATTCATGGGCTTCCCTGGTGGCTCAGGTGGTAAAGAATCCGCCTGCAATGAAGGAGACCTGGGTTCGATCCCTGGGTTGGGAAGATTCCCTGGAGGACAACAGGGCAACCCACTCTAGTATTCTTGCTTCTTGAGGTTAGAAGCCATCATTCATGCTTATATTTAATTCTTTACAAGGCTGGATAGGACACAAACTCTCAATAAATACATTTACCATTTCAATAAAAGCCTGAGGTCAGGAACTTCCCTAGTAGTCATCTCCTTCCAATGCAGAGGGTTCGGGTTCTAGCCTTGGTTGGGGGGCTAAGATCCTACAATCCTCGTGTCCAAGAAACCAAACCATAAAACAGAAACAATATTGTAAAAAATTCAATAAGGACTTCAAAAATGGTCCACATTAAAAAAAAAAAAGACTGAGATCAAATCTAGAAGTGCCCAGCTGAGGACACTATAAACCGTTCTGTCTATAAAGAGAACATTTATTGTATAATCCATGTTTTCTGTCCTTTCTGTCTGAAATGATGGCTGCCCAGTGACTTGTTAGCACAAGCTCTTGTTTAGTTGATTGAATTTGTCACAATGTATGATGATCCTGGTTATCTAATAGTTTATTGTTCTTTTCTCCTCACTCAGCCCTGGAAAGGCAGGAACCTTGTCTGTCTTACCAACCACAGCTTCCTAAAACAGGGCCTGACTACTGTAGTGCTCACTAGAAACTTGTTGCGTGAATGAAAGACTGAAGGGACAGTCCTAACCTTGAGTTTCCAACGCGGTGCAACAGACAGCGGGTTATTAACTATACCACTGGGGATGTTCTATGTGTTCATGTGCTTTGCATTCACAGATGAGTGAGTCCATAATTTGGCCTTAGGAGGCGTTGGGAGGGTGCCAGCAAGGAAGCAGGAAGCTGGGGCGATAACTGGACCAGTTTCTCAGAAAAGGTGATATTTGAGCCACATCTTAAAGGAAAAGTAGGTGCCTTGAGGCAGAAGAGGAGGAAAGGCTATTCCAGGTAAAGAGAGCCACCTGAAGAGCGCAGTTGTGTGAAAGACCATTCTGGGCAAAGAATGGCCATCAAAGGCAGCATGGGAAGGCACATGACCCATGAAAGATGACCCTCAACGGCTAGTCAGGCGTCAGGAAGATGGGTGGGGAGACAGGCCAAGTCTTGAGACAAGTGCTATAACCAGCAGCTGCTTACAGCACGAAGTGGGTGCAGCTTTTAAAAGTAGGTCTGTTTTCCTTTCAGGTTCCCCGAGCTCCACCTTTCCGCCTCTCCTTGCACCCTTTGGCCATGTTAACAGCTCCCAAAGCCGCAGAATATGCCCGCAAGCAGAGTAAGCCTGTTTACTTCTGTCTCTCAGAGAAATTTAAGTAATACTCGGAGATGCACGTACAAAGTGAGGTCAAAGTTGTTATGGTAATAACATCTTTCTGTCTGGGGGAATTTAAAAGAATCAAGAATGTTTATGACTTGATTTCCCTCCATCATTGAAATCAGGGAAGTCATTTCTGAGACCTTTTGCTGGTGGAAGCAGAGGACTCTAGCAGGGAAGAATCTAGAACTGAGGGTGGACTTATTTTTAAAAATAGTTTAATACAGATATGACTACTACATGCATCCCTAGGTGTCAAGCTAAGAAGGGCAGCAATGAGCAAAAATGCCACCAGCATTTCTACAAGGAAAGCAAATGCCACGGAATGGAAATCATCAAAAAATTTATCTTTGGACACACAGCCAAAGAACAAAGTAGGTCTAAACATGCAAATTGAACCAAACTGATACCAGGTGTTTGGGGAGTACTTATGATTAAAAGTCTTGCCTTTGGGTGTTAGATGTTCTGTCTTTGAGACTAAAGCCCATTATTTACCAGCTGTGTAACTTCAGGCAAGTTGCTTAACTTGTTTGGGCCTTAAGTGTCCTTCTCTGCAAAATGGGAAGAACAATGGTACTTACCTCTTAAGGTCACTGAATAATTAACTGATATTATGGGTTTTAAGGGATTAAAACAGAGTAACTCCTAAATATTGACCATTATCATCTTTTCATCATTTAAGAAATACTAACCACAGTTAACCAACTAGTATTCTGTTGATTCAAGTAAATGTGTTGAGCAGAGAATCTGTGTTCATATCTGTGTCAAATATTCCTATTCTTGGTCCCTTTCTCACTAATAAGAATTTTACCTTTGCCTGCTTTGTATCTCTGCTGTTTCTGCCCTGCCTATCTGATTCCTTGGACATTTATGTTGCAGACTTCAGATAATGGTCAGAGATGGACAAGGCTGGAAGGAAAGGAGAAAGCAAAAAGGGTTCTTTGACATTCCAACACTGTGTTCTCAATTATAATGTACAAAGTGAAAAAGAAAATTTTAAAGTCAGAGAGACCAAGGTGGTCAATATATTAAAAGCAGGGAGAGAATCAGAAAAGTAGTTTTAGGCTTGGGGGAGGGGGTGGCTGAGATATTTTAGGATTTTGTTGAATGAGAGACTCTGGATCAACTGGAGGTTGTAAGGTAGGAAAGGGAAAGAGGAATTTTGAAAACAGAATCTCTGGGTTCTGAATTGATCTTGCTTCAGGAAATACAGGGGCTTCCCTAATGACAGCAGGTAAAAAATCTGCCTGCAACACAAGAGACACAGGAAATGTGGGATCAGTCCCTGAGCTGGGAATGATCCCCTGGAGGAGGAAGTGGCAACCCACTCCAGTGTTCTTGCCTGAAAAATCTCATGGATAGAGGAGCCTGGTGGGCTGCAGTCCAAAGGGTTGCAAAGAGTCAGACATGACTGAGTGACTAAGCATTCAAGAATCACAAGTGAAAATTGAAATTCCTTTTTATGTAACTTGGTTGCTATACTATGCATTAAATGTGAGTCTCTCAGTAGGCTGAGTCACACAGGGCTCAGGATTTGTTCAGGTTTTCTGAGGCCAACTATTGACTGATTAGAAATATAATCTTATCATAGTAAACCACAGCTTTAAGAACTGCCTGAAATCTTTGGTCATATCAGGCCTTTAATATGTGTTATTCTAGTAGCAGAACAACCATGTTAATAGGAAATATTTACAAAATATTGAGTTTTCCTTTAAAGACATTTGCTATAATGAGATTTGGGCTTCCCCGGTGGCTCGATGGTAAAGAATCTGCCTGTAATGCAGGTTCAATCCCTGGGTCAGGAAGATCCCCCAGAGGAGGAAATGACTTGATTCTTGCCTGGAAAATCCCATGGACAGAGGAACTTGGCAGGCTACAGTCCACTGGTTTGTGAAAGAGTTGGACATGACTTAGCGACTAAACAACAAATAACAATAATGAGACTTGAAGGTATAGCTTTTCTAGAATGATATCTTTGTTACTGAAGATCTTTTTGAAGTAGATCTACCTTTTGAAGTAGGTAACAATTTTAAAAATATGAGTTTGGGAATAGCAAACTTTGCTTGATTAGTTGCTCAGTTGTGTCCAACTCTTTGTGACCCCATGGACTGTAGACCGCCAGGCTCCTCTGTCCATGGGATTCTTCAGGCAAGAATACTGGAGTGGGTTGCCATGCCCTCCTCCAGGGGATCTTCCTGACCCAGGGATTGAACCTGGGTCTCCGGCATATCAGGCGAATTCTTTACTGTCTGAGCCTTAAGGGAAGACCTAGCAAACTTTAGGAAGTAAAACAGAACACAGAAAATAAGAAAACAGTAACAACTTCAGAAATAACATCACACACACACACACACACACACACACACTGGTAATCAAGACTTTAAGCTTAATCATGAAAAAAAACATATCTCTGAAACAGTGGTCCATTGCCCTCTGAGGCTCATCTATGCACCCTATGTCCAGAAAGTCTAGTTCTTAAGATTACCCATTGGTATGTCATTTTGAAAGTATAATTTCATTTCCTGTATGTTTTCTTTCATAGCCATTGAAGACTGTTGGCTTCTTGATGGAAGCAGATCTTTTATTCCCTTTTTATTTCCCACATGGATGTAAAGTGCTTTCCAGGCAGTAGATATTCAGTAGTTATTGTTGATTAGTGAATCAGCAGTGAGTGAGTGGTCCTTAGGTGAGTGTGCTTAAATCACTGTGCCCTGTCCATACTGATTGAGAGGATCATTTCTGGGGACCAGCTTCTCCTATAGGCTAACTGATGCTTGTAAACCCAGGCATGTCAACAGAATAAGTGTCCATCTTGCAGTAAGGCCAGATCCTGAGATGAATCCATCCTACAATGCCCTTCTTCAAGCAGCAGAAACCACATTTGTGAGGGCTTTCATGCTTTATTGTTGATATTTGTGTACTTCAGGCATCTTTTCCAACTCTTGGGTAATGTACTTTCCAAATTAATTTTTCAATTACAATAGTAGTACTTACAGTAAAAGTTTCAAATTACATAGCATAGCAAAAAGTAAAAGAATCCCCTCTTTCCCACACCCTTGCCCTACTCCTCAGAAGTAACAACTGTTTATGATTTTCAATTCAAATATTTGCTGTACATGTACACATCAATATATACATTAATAATACGTGCACACCTAACTGATTAGAAACAACAAGTCAATCAAATAAGTAGTTTATTAAGTGTATGAAAGGACTTCCCTGGTGGTGCAGTGGTTAAGGTATGAAAGGGCTTCTCTGGTGGTGCAGTGGTTAAGAATCCACCTGCCAATGCAGGGTACACGGGTTCAATCCCTCGTCCAGGAAGATGCCACATGCTTCTGGGCAACTAAGCCCATGCACCACATACTGAGCCAGAGCTCTAGCGCCCAAGAACTACAACTGCTGAGCCCATGTGCCTGGAGTCTGTGCGTAAAAACAAGAGAAGCCACTGCGATGAGAAGCCTGAACGCCACACTACAGGGTAGCATCCTCTCATGGGCACTGGAGGAAACCCTCACACAGCAATGGAGACCCAGCGCATCCAAAATGAATAAAAATAAATAAACTTAAAAATGCTTTCAAATGTATTAAAAATGCTTTTTAGCTTATTGTTTGAAGACATCTTTCATTCATGTGTTTAAGCTTCTTAGTCTTTTCTTTTATGCCTTGTGGATACTGTATCATGTCTTTTAGGTGATGAACATTTTTAAACTGCGAGATATTAATGCCTTAGTCAGAATTTTCTATTTATTTCCAGTCACCGAATTTCTTTAATAAATAAGGGGAAAAGAAGAATTATTTTTTTAAAATCCAGGTATTCTGGAAAACAGTTTCCAAAATTTCTCTTGTGCTGCTTGGTAATCTAATAGCTCATTTATTAGTTAAAATGGGTATGAGCAATGCCACATTCTAGGCAAGGTAGAAAAAGAGTGCAAGACAAATAAGAACAAAGAACAAGGGCAAAAAAAAAAATAGAAAACATTCACAAATAACCATCCTGTGGTTATTTAAGAGACTAATTTTATTCTAAGGAAATATACTATAAAGTGTATTATTAACCCAATAATTTCCCTGTGTGGGATCATGTATTATATTTAACTGAGAAATATAAGTCAATTTCCAAATGTCTGAGAAGAATTCCATGGAAATTCTTTTGTACTCACTTTTATTTTAGCTCATCTTTGTCAGTAACTTGGTATCTGATATTTGACCTTAACTCCTTATAGACTGAAATCTAATGTTTGTGTCCATTTTAAACTGATGTGTTTGATAACATAATCATCTTTTTATTCTGCAGGTCACTTAGAAACTTGGAATTGCACCAGGGGAGTCCATAATAAAGTCTCTGGAAGAAGGGAACCATCATCTTAAAATTGCAGCTCTTGCCAGCATATTTTTCTTTGCAATTAGCTTTTGATGCAAAGTGCATTGAAGTGTTATTTTGGATGTTGAGCTTTCTTCTCTTAGAATCAAGTCGTTTGGCCATATTGTGGTTAATAGCAAGTATGTATCTTATGCTACTTCATTGTGACTGGAAGATGGTTGGCTGGAGAATTTTGAGAATATATACTATTTCTGTGTTAGAGTAGGCTGACTTTGTAGCACATTTTACAAATGTTTAGCACTGAACATTGCAGAATAGTGGAGTAGGAGGCAGTTTTCCAAAGTTTCAATCCAAAATAAAATTAACCTTCATCAATTGCCTTTACTATGTACTCACATGGAAACATTTAAACTCATCTCAATAAAGCCTTAAAAGAAAAATGAATACAGGCTTTCTTTCAATAGAACACAAGGACTACTAGGAAAAAAAAGGTTCTAGTCTTTCAACACCTTTTCAAAATGCTGATTATAAATTGAGTTTATAAATACATGTAGTAGCAATTTGACCAAATGAACCTGAGTGTAAGTTATACCATCTTAAGGTTTTGTTAACACAGAACAGCTTTATTTAACATGTGCCAAAACTGGCATGTGGTTTGTTGACTTTTGTTTAAAGTGGTGGTGTATTTCAATGTGGCATTGTGGCTGGAAAGACCAAGGCAGCCTTTCCCACACTGGTTCAATTACGGCTGTAACTAAGGTTGACCAGTAGACCTGCTGCATTAGGTCTGTCCTCTGGTCCTTGTGTATACTGTTGAACTTTACAAGTCTCTGCCCAGCTTTTTTTTTTGGGGGGGGGGTTGTCTAGCTCTGCCACATGCAAGGGAACGTTTTTCTTTGTAGCTATTGATGCCTCTCCTCTTAACATCTGAAACTTTGCTTTACATGCTACCTGAAGACTTTCACAAATGGCATTGTGGACATATTGCCAGCTGTAGTTGGATGTCCTTTTAGATTCCCTCCACAGGTTGAGAACCAGGACCCATGTTTGATTTCATCTTTCTGCATACATATGGGATGACAAAGCGTGGGGGATTGAGTCATATTCTGCCCCTGCATATCTGAAGAGTATTTCTAAAGCAATAGGTTGGCAGCAAGGGAGAAAGGTTCTCAAACAGTTGCCTGGGGCCTTCCTATGAAACAGTAATGCTTCAGGGAGGGGAAACTCAGGCAAATCATGCTGCTAGTTTTGAAAACAAAAAGCAACCCTAGAAGATAGGTTGAGGGGAGAAGGGAATGGGAGGATCCTGGATATGTTCCTGCTCTTGGAGCGTCTGAGAGTCTCGGGAGACCTTTGTCATTCAAGCCCAAAGGGAGATGTTAAAACTCAGGACAAAATGTGGCTATTGACAAAATTTGCTGCCTTTCACTAGCACCTAAAAGTTAAACATTTAAAGGTTGATTTTATTTTTTCACCTTATTAAAGTCATATATATGTACATAATAGAAAGTTAAAGAAACCGAAAACAAAAAAGGAGAAATAAAAACGTAAAATTAAGACCTATAACCTTGCCATTCGTTGATATCTATGATTGACACTTAGGCTTCTACATGCATTGTTTCTTCCCTACATAAACATATGCAAAATGTTTTTATCGAAACCACATAATACTGACAAGGTGATTTAGGAAATGTGGGCTTCCCAGGTGGTGTTAGCAGTAGAGACGGGGGTTCAGTCTCTAGGTCTGGAAGATGCACTGGAAGAGGGCATGGCAACCCACTCCAGTGTTCTTGCCTGGAGCACCCCATGGCCAGAGGAACCTGGCGGGTTACAGTCCACGGGGCCACTAAGAGTCGGACACGACTGAAGCAACTTAGCACACAAGTTAGGAAATGTAATTGCTTTTCAGTGAGAGGATTTTATTTTGGTTGCCCTTAGCACGTCAAATCCTTCTGGAACTCATAGGATTGTCACGCGTCACCCCAGGGGGAACCACCAACCTCATCTCAGCAGTTTCCATAGGCAAACTGCACACAATACCGGGCACGTAATGTATCTCTAGAGCCCTGCATAGGCTGAGAAGTGCATCCTTTGTCTCCAAGGTCATAATGGCTCTGCTGACTTCAATTCCTTTCACTGGCACGAGTGAGGACAACCTGAAAAGGCCAGAGAGAATGAGAGCCCCCTGCCCCATGATCCCAAATGAAAAAACAAGGGAGAGAGAGGACACGGAAATCCCCTCACACGCCACCCCAGGCCCCTTTTGTGTTGTTCTTGCCAACGCAGCAGCCCTCCTGCTATATATATCAGCTGCCACGTTTGTCCCCATCAGGCTGGACGCTGATCACCCGCCATCAACAACCATGGGGAAGGTGAGCCAACTGAGGTGCCACACCAGGCCTGCTGCATGTTGATGGTGTGTGCGTGTGGAGGGGGGATGTATCTCCCAGCTGACTTCCTCCTGTCACTTTATGTTCCACCTGCAAGCAGATCACCTTCTACGAGGACCGGGGCTTCCAGGGCCGCCGCTACGAGTGCAGCAGCGACTGCCCCAACCTGCAGCCCTACTTCAGCCGCTGCAACTCCATCCGCGTGGACAGCGGTTGCTGGATGATCTACGAGCAGCCCAACTTCCAGGGCCACCAGTACTTCCTGCGGCGCGGTGACTACGCCGACTACCAGCAGTGGATGGGCCTCAGCGACTCCGTCCGCTCCTGCCGCGCTATTCCTTACGTGAGTCTTGCTTCAACCCGACCGGTGTGACAGCATCACTGATCCCGGGCCATGAATTCCTGTAAAGAGTCAGTTTGTTTCAACTCAGGACTAGTGTTCACAGTAAAATAACAAAGCCCAACTCTCAAGCATTGAAAAAAAAAAATAGATTGCCTTTTTACTATGTTCTCATACGGAAACATTTAAACTCATTTAGCATTAAAAATGGGTAAATTGTTTTTAGGCATAAGAAATCACAATGATATAGCTTCTAAAACTGAATCTGGTAGCATCTAGCTGATCCCTAATTTCTAAATAAAAATCATGTATTCAGTAAAGAAAAAAAATCTGTCAGTATATCATTATTTCTTAACGATAAAAATACTGACAGATTATGGGAGAACAACATAGGTATAACATATTCTGACTGTATTGGTGATTATTTTCAATACCTTCTCTGTGACATGCAGATCTAGAAACTAGAACAATATATGTCTGCTTGCAAGTGGCTCCCTGTATTTAGCAGATATTATCAACTAGTTTCTTACAAGGGTCAGAAAAATCGTTCCTTAAGATTTCATGGGATGTAGTCCTCACCAAAATCCTGCTTAATGTCTATTAATCATGTGTAGTTTGTATTTGGACTTTCTGAATCACCAACTTATGTGTCATGGCAAGCAGATTCAGGAAGTGAAACCAAAATTTGGCTAGAGAAATTTGCAGATGCAAAAAGAGGTACAAGATAAGAACTTCTTTGAGGCCAGAAACTCAAATAGTACAAATGACGTGGCAAAATCTCAGACATGTGGACTAAAAGTAAATGTGAATTGTTGTCAATGGTGAGTGCAAAAGTGACTTAAAAACATGCTTGATAGGATTCAGGGATACACAGTCATAATGGAAGAGGGAGTTAAATCATCTCTGAAGGCTCAACTAAATATAGTTACAATAGTTGTTTTTTGCTTTGCTTTCAAGGAATCCCTTTTGTTGACTTTATTTCAATGTTTATTTCTTCCATAAGATAGATCACTGGTCAGGTAAGTTTTAATACCCTCCCTGAAGAAGGAAATGGCAACCCACTCCAGTATTCTGGCCTGGAAAATCCCATGGACAGAGGAGCCTGGCAGGCTTCAGTCCATGGGGTTGCAAAGAGTCAGACATGACTTAGAGACTAAACAACAACAACAATTTGTTAAACCAGCCGTGTAAGGAGAGGATACATGGGTGACAGGAGGGTTTGAAAACCATGCTTCATGAAGCTGCAGGATGACTGAGTCACTTTTACTGACATCAAGGATGCCCACAACTTATTTTTCATCTTTGGTTTATTGTCACAACAGACCAGCTCTCACAGGATAAGGCTGTACGAGAGAGATGACTACGGAGGCCTGGTGTCCGAGCTCACGGAAGACTGCTCCTGCATCCACGACCGCTTCCGGCTCAATGAGCTCCACTCCCTCCACGTGCTGGAGGGCTGCTGGGTCCTCTACGAGATGCCCAACTACCGGGGGCGGCAGTACCTGCTGCGGCCGGGGGATTACAGGCGCTACCACGACTGGGGGGCCGTGGATGCCCGAGTGGGCTCTCTGAGACGGGCCATCGATTTGTACTAGGCTGTGCTTTTCTTAGGATCCACATAGAAATGCACTATATAGACAAATCGTGTTATAGGCACATAAGTAATTCTTGTTCATCTTAAAGAATAACTGAATTTTAATAAATGGTGATCCTTGGCAACTTACCTGGCCCTGAAATCAAGTGTTTTGGACGTCTGCTGACTTCCTGGATGGCAGCAGTATTTTTGAAGTCCCCATTCACATCATGGGAAGGAGGCAGGAACACTGTATCTGCCTCTACAACCCACAGTATGAAGGAGAGAGAAAAGAAACATAATGAAAACTATTAAATCCATACCCAGGGGAAGATATGGAACCAACTGCAGCTGGGACACAAAAGGACCACTGGAGAGGACTACATTATTCTGGACCACAATGTGAACTTTTATCAAAATTCAGTTATGGAATACTCAGCTATGCAGAGTGAAGTAAGACAGTGTGCTATCCTGCACACCTCTGGGATCTCCTTCCCCTAGAGTTGCTCACCCAGAATGCTAATTGTTTTTATAAATTTACATGAGCAAAAATAGTGCTCTGTCCCAGTTAAATTCCTCATAGAAATTGAAAAGCTCATTTAAAAATTCATATGGAGTTTGCAAGGGACCCAGAATAGCCAAAACAATCTTGAAAAAAGAAGAGCAAGCTAGGAGGACTCATCCTTTGCAATTTCAAAGCTTACCACAAAGCAACAGTAAACAGCTTAGTGGGATACTGGCATAAAGTAGACATGGCGATGACAGGAATAGACTTGGGAGTCCAGAAATAATCCCGTATGTTTATGTTCAACTGATTTTTGACAAGGGTGCTAAGACCCCTCAATGGGGAAAGAATGGCTTTTCAACAAATAGTGCTAGGACTACTGGATATCCAAATGCAAAATAATAAAGTTAGACCCACATTTCATACCACATATAAAAATTAATTCAAAATAAATCAAAGAACTCAAACTATGAAACCCTTGGAAGAAAACAGAAACATACATCTTCATGATCTTTTATTAGGCAATGACATCTTAAAGATGACACCAAAAGCACAAGCAACAACAATAAAAATAATAAATGGGACATCATCAAAACTAAAATATTTTACGCTTCCCAGGTGGTGCTAGTGGTAATGAACCACCTGCCAATGCAGGAGACATAAGAGACACAGGTTCAGTCCCTGGGTTGGGAAGATCCCCTGGAGGAGGGCATGGCAACCCACTCCAGTATTCATGCCTGGAGAATCCCATGGATAGAAGAGCCTGGTGGGCTATAGTCCATGGGGTCACCAAGAGTCAGACACAACTGAAGTGACTTAGCATGCATGAGTGAATCAAAGAATGCCATCAAGAAAGTGAAAAATACATGTATACCTATGGCTGATTCATGTTGATGTATGGCAGAAATCAACACAACATTGTAAAGCAATTATCCTCCAATCAAAATTTTTTATTTTTTATTTATTTATTTTTTTTTCTATGTATATTTTTTGTTATTTTTTATTTTTTTTTTGTAAAATGTCCCGGTTCTTCCATAACTTATAAACATGATTTATACCAGGGGGTGGATGGGAAAGCGGGCACGGGCGGGGTGACTGGGGACGCACCTCTCCTTGCTGCCCCCTTGGGGCTGGGCCCATTTGGCCATTTCGGGGGACGGGGACACCCCAACACCTCCCTGAGGTTGTCTGACCGCCTCTGCCCCTGGTGCTCAGAATCCCGTAGGCCCCTCGACTCCAGAATCGCTTCCTGGACCCCAAGCCCACTGGGCATGCGGCCCCTTGTCCTCCACATCCTGCCGTGCCCGTCCTTCGGAGAATCCCCCCTCAGCTGCTGGGGTGCTGGGTCCCCTCCTTTCCGCCGCCCCCTGACCCCCGAGGAGGGAGGGAAGGGAGGGGGAGGGGGGCTCAGGTCTCCCCTCCGTGGCAGGGGGAGGGGGAGGTGGGATCAGAAGGAGAAAGGGCGAGGAAGGCAGGGCCTGCGGGGGCTCAGCCAATGGTGAGGCCGAAGCCGCACTGGAACTTGTTCTTTCGGTGATTCAGGAAGGCCCCGAGGGCCAGCGTCAGGGGCAGCGGCGGGAGCTTCTTTTCCAGCGTGGCGCCCACGATCCAGTTGCTGTCCACAGAGCCTTTGAAGAGGAGGTTGGCCTTGGGCAGGTCCAGCTGGTACCCGAAGGAGACACTTGTGTCCTGCATCCTTGTGCTGGCCTCGAACTCCACACCCACCTGCAGCTGGTCACTGGCTTTGTGGTAGTACGTTGCATGCATGCCCGCCTGACCCAGTGTTACTGTCGCCAACCAGTTGTTCAATGTATACTTCCCAGCTAGTGACATAACAGTGCCCTCCTCCCCGGGTCGCAGGTGGTAGACCAGTTCTCCACCCAGGGCCAGACACGGCGTGATGCTCTGGAGGTAGTGGGCCACGAGGATTCCTGAACCCACCAGAACGTCTGGGTTCCCCAAAGTGACGGCTGCTGTGAAGTCGGAACCCCGGTACTCCCCATCCACCTGCCAGTTCACAAATTTCGACTGCTGGGTCTGGATCGCCATCTTGGACCTGAGGCCAGGGCCCAGCTGATGAATGACCTGAGCATTGAGGCTGCCACTATTGTCCATGTCACCCACCAGCACGGGGAATGCCTCTGTGGGACTCAGCTGCTTCGTCCCCACATACGTGACCCCGAAGTGGTAGTTGGATTCCCCGATTGTGCTGAGGGCTACTGTGTGGTTCACCTGGAAATGATTACTCAACCCTTTGTTGACTGTGAGCTTGACACCTTCCATCTGAACAGGAAACAGCTCCTTGCACTTCCGGTGGCACTCCTCGAACGTGCCCGGGTTGGGCAGGCAGCCGCAGGCCCCATCGTCCCCGGTCCCTCCAGCGCTGGCAGCCGCAGTCCCGGGGGTCCGTTCGGAACCTCGACCTGTGCCAGCTCCAGCGCCCAGGCCTCCCCCGAGTGGCGGCAACGTGAAGCAGGGAGGAGAGGGCGGAGGTGGCGGCAGTCCCACGAGGGGAGGCGCAGGCGGCGGCGGCGGCCCTGCGGGCGGCGAGCTAGCGGCCAATACGTTCCCCATGGTCGCGCGCGGTAGCACCTCCTCCCGGTCCGGGCTCCGCTCCCACCCCGTGGGCCACGCGCAACCGAACCCGCTGCCGCCGCCGCCGCCGCCACCGTCGCCCAATCAAAATTTTTAAAAAAAGAAAAGTGAAAAGACAGACTCTTGAATGAGAGAAAATATATACCAAATGTTTACAAACTTTTTATCTGCTAAGAGTCTAGTATTCAGAATATTAAAAAAAAAAAACCTCTTAAAACAACAAAAGATAAACAAAAGACAAGACAATTAAAAATGGGCAAAGTCCGTTATATAGAGCGAAGTAAGCCAGAAAGATAAAGACCATTACATTATACTAACACATATATATGGAATTTAGAAAGATGGTAACGATAACCCTATATGCAAAACAGAAAAAGAGACTCAGATGTATAGAACAGACTTGTGGACTCTGTGGGAGAAGGCGAGGGTGGGATGTTTCAAGAGAACAGCATCGAAAGGGTGAAACAGATCACCAGCCCAGGTTGGGTGCATGAGACAAGTGCTCGGACTTGGTGCACTGGGAAGACCCAGAGGGATAGGGCGGAGAGGGAGGTGGGAGGGGGGACCAGGATGAGGAATACATGTAAATCCATGGCTAATTCATTTCAATGTATGACAAAAACCACTGCAATGATGTAAAGTAATTAGCCTCCAACTAATAAATGGAAAAAAATAAAAATAAAATAAAATTAATTAGTTTAAAAAAAATGGGCAAAGTACTTGAATATTATATTTTTACAAAAAAGATATATAAATGGTCAAGAAGCTACTGAAAAGATGCTCAGCATTATTAGTCGTTGTTGTTGGTTGTTGTTTACTCTCTCAGTGGTGTCCAACTCTTTTGTGACCCCATGGACTATAGTCCTCTGGGCTCCTCTATCCAGGGGATTTCCCAGGCAAGAATACTGAAATGGGTTGCCATTTCCTTCTCCAGGGGATCTTCCTGACCCAGGGATCAAACTTGCATCTCTTGCGTTGGCAGGGAGTTCTGTACCACTGAGCCACCACAGAAGCCCATTATTAGTCATTAGGGAAATTCAAATAAAAACCACAGTGAGATAGCACTTAATACCCACTTGGATGGCTGGACAGCATTGTGGATGCAATGAACATCAACTTGGGCAAATTCTGGGAAATGGTGATGGACAGGGAGGCCTGGGGAGCTGCAGTCCCTGGGGTCACAAAGAGTTCGACTCGACTGGGTGGCTGAACAACAACAACAACCACCACCCACTAAGGTGGTTATATTAATTTTAGAGAAAAATAAAACAGAAAATAACAAGTGCTAGTAAGGTTGTGGAGAGATTAGAACTCTCATAAATCTCTGTAGCGTAAATTAATGTAAATACTTGTAAGTAATGTAAAGTAATGTAAAAAGATGCAGCCACTATGGGAAAACAGTTTGGTAGTTCCTCAGATAGTTAAACTGAGTTATCATATGACTCAGCAATTCCACTCTGACATATATACTCAAAAGAATTGAAAAGAAATGTTCCAACAAACACGTATTCATGAATGTTCACAGCAGCACTATTCACAATAGCCAGAGGTGAAAACAACCCAAATGTTTATCAGTGGATGATTGCATAAATGAAATGTGCTTTATCCAAACAATGGAATGTTCTTTGGCTGTAAAAAGGAATGAAGTCCGGATACATATTACATCATGGATGAACCTTGAAAATATGTCGAGTGAAAAAAGCTGGTCACATAAGACCATATGTTATAGGATTCATTTATATGAAACATCCAGAATAGGCAAATCTAGAGACAGTAAGTATATTCATGGTTGTTTAGGACTGGGGGATAGGTCAATAAAGGAATGATAACTAAAGGATTCAGGACTTTTCACTGTGGAATGAGCATTTTCTAAAATTGACTATGGTGACAGTTGCACATAACTGTGAATATACTAAACCACT